TCCTGTCTTCACCTAGGGGCTTGTACAATATATTTGTTTTTTTATACTATTTATTTCTCAAGGTAGATTTCTGTATTTTTTAATACCTATTGTTTTTATATTTGTGGTTTTTATCTAATTATTTGTCCAGAGTCATTTTTGGTGAGACGGACAGCTATACAAATTTGATAAATGAATAAATAAAAATAGGGAACAACAGGCTTCAGCTAAACCCTGGCATGATTGCCTGGGTTTGGGTTTATGGCTACCAGTTCTGGGACTATGCCATTCTTGGTGGTGGATGGAGTTGCACAGCTGTAAACAGATGTTTGCAACTTGGAGATCTAATCTAATCTATTATAGATCAGTAAGTCTAACTGTAGTCCATTAAGATGTGGAGGGCATCAGATCATTATGGATTCAGCTGTTCAGTTGGTCCCACACAAATTGTCAACGACTCATAGGAATGTCCTTCCCTTTTTCTTCCCACAGTTGGCCTGAATGGAAGGGTCACACTATGAACTGAATCATGACTTTCTCTTCTTGAATTAAGAGTCAGATATAGTTCACTTCTCTCTTAGTCCAAATAAGTCAAGTTGGGAGAAGTAACAATGCTTCTTCTTCCTTCTTCCTTCCTTCAATTGTGGTAAGTATGAACCTATTCAACCAAAGGTCATTGTTGGAGAAGTGGTAGCAAGATCTCCCTTCCAACATTACTGGCTTTCTATCTGTCTCTGATTGTAAGATAGAGATCATTCCATCCTCTTCATCTTTTAAGGAACATATGCTGTATCTTGGAAAAGTAAAATGACCAAAAGTAATCGGGGGGGGGGGGGGGGGGGGGACGAAAAACCTAGAAGAACAGAAGAAGAGCTGCAACCAAAATAACAAGTCAGATAAAAGAAATCTGAGTTTGTGTCAGAATTGTAATTTGAAAAAAGGTTCCAGACTATGTCTTCATTTTTTATTTATTGATATTTATTTTCATGTTTTACCACAATAACCAGCCTGTGAAGTGAATTGGGATGAAAGAGAGTGACTGGCCCAAGGTCACTCAGCTGTCTTTCATGGCTAAGGTGGCACTAGAACCCACCAGCTCCCACTTTCTAGTTTGGTGCCTTAGCCACTAGACCAAACTGGTTGCAGTTCACCAGCAGATAAAGAGAAGATGACAAAAGCAAAGTTGCAAGATGATTACTGTAACCTTATAATAAAAGTAGTATTAGCAATCATGATTTTGGCTTTCTGGTTGAGTCTAGATCCATACATCAATATCATATATTCATTTAATTAAAATATCCCATATCAAATAAACTAACACTCTGATAAAAGTGCTGTTCAAACAAATGAATAGCATCGAACTGAATCAAATCAGGATAGGATGAGTTTTGATGCTTTGAGCTTTGGTGCTGGAGAACACGATTGAGAATTCTGTGGATGGTCAAGAAAACATACAGATGGATCACAAAACAAATCAAACCACAGTTCTTAGTCAAAGCACAAATGATCAGCCTCAAATTATCCTACTTTGGATATATAATGCAAAAACCCAGCTCTCTAGAGAAGGTGTTAATGAAAGCTGAAAGGAAAAAGAGGAGGACAATAAGCAGTTAAGTGGCAAAGAGGTTAGAGAACAATTGTAATGGAGAAATCTTTCTATGTGATTACTAGCACTCAAAAATGATGTGAAGGCATATAATGAATCAGAATAGAGTGATAAGAGATTTTTCAGACTTGAAGGAAAGCAGATAGTACATACAGAAGTGATATACTGTATACTTTATCTGACAAAAATACAATCTGAGGCAACCAACCAGTTCAGACATTCACAACATATTATTACAATGTATTAAATCGATTGGAAGTATTCCAAAAGAAATTTTGTTAGGGTCATAAGAGAAAAATAGAAGAAGAAGAAATGTGATATCTATTAGATTGATTTTTCAAATAAAAAGAAAAGCAGCATAGGCCATAAAGAAATGCTGACCTGGATAACCTGGAAGGATATATCTAAACCATGGCCATCTTTCAGAAAATGTTTTCAAGATAGGGGAAATAAAACTTGTTTGGGTTTCCATCCATGTAGAAAAAACAAATATAATTCCAGGGATTCCACAGCTGTTTCCCAGCAGAGGGCGCTGTTGGTCAAAGCAATGATGCAGCAAAATTTAGGAAAGGCTGACAATAATATTAATTCTAGTTAGGGAGAAAAATACAACCTACAAAGCTAGGAGCCAGATGTAAACTGATTTAAAAATCAATGTCTCAAATACCATGCAGTATCCTTTATTTAACAATGTTCAGAAGTATCAGAAAAAATATAAAAGGTTGAACGTCATATATTGTAAATCATGACTAACTTTAGTTCATTTATTTATGGACGTAATTTACAAATTATTAAGTGAGACTCAAAGCTGTAAATCTATTACTAGTCAAATCTCATTATGCACACAATGGCTGCAATGTAGTTTGAACCCTTTGCTCTAAAGAATGATATTTTATTTATATCCCTCCTTCATTATTTTTATAATAACTCAAGTTGGTGAACACACACAGTAGTCCTTTCTGCTCTATTACAGATACAGATACAGATAATCAGAGTTGGAAGGGACCTTGTAGGTCATCTAGTCCAACCCCCCGCCCAAGCGGAAGACCCTACACCATTTCTGACAAATGGCAGTCCAATCTCTTCTTGAAAGTCTCAAGTGATGGCGCTCCCACAACTTCCGAGAGCAAGCTGTTCCATTGGTTGATTGTTCTCACTGTCAGAAAGTTTCTCCTTGTTTCCAGGTTAAATCTCTCCTTGTTCAGTTCCCATCTATTATTCCTTGTCTGGCCTACAGGCACTTTAGAAAATAGCTTGACCCCTTCCTCTCTGTGGCAGTCCCTCAAATATTGGAAGACTGCTATCATGTCTCCCCTGGTCCTTCTCTTTACTAGACTAGCCAAGCCCAGTTCCTGCAACTGTTCATTGTTTGTTTTAGCCTCCAGTCCCCTAATCATCCTGGTTGCTCTTATCTGCACTTTTTCTAGAGTCTCCACATCTTTTTTATAATGTGGTGACCAAAACTGGATGCAGTACTCTAGGTGTGGTCTTACTAAGGCTTTACAGAGTGGTATAAGTACTCCCCTTGACTGTATCCCTCTGTTAATACAATTTAGGATTGCATTAGCTTTTTTGGCTGCTGCTGCACACTGCTGGCTCATATTTAGCTGGTTGTCCACTAAGACTCCAAGATCCCTCTCACAGTTACTGCTATTGAGCCTGGTTTCACCCAGTCTATATGTGTACTTTTGGTTTTTCATGTCTAAGTGTAGGACTTTACTTTTCTCTATATTTAATTTCATTTTATTAGATATGGCCCAGTGTTCTAGTCTGTCAAGATCCATCTGGATCTTGAGCCTATCTTCCTGGGTGTTAGCTATACCTGCCAGCTTAGTATCATCTGCAAATTTGGTAAGTTCCCCTTCTATTCCCTCATCTAAGTCATTAAATGAAGATATTGAAGAGTACTGGGCCTAAGACGGAACCTTGTGGCACCCCACTGCTTCCTTCCTTCCTTCCATGTAGACTTAGACCCATTAAGGACTACTCGTTGAGTACAGTTTGCCAGCCAGTTGCGAGTCCATCTAGTGGTGGTGCTATCTATTCCACCTTTTTCTAGCTTACTAAGAAGTAGGTTGTGGTCTACTCTACTTTATCGAATGCCTTGCTGAAATCTAAATCTAAATCCTGTCATGCCTGTGTCATGCATACTATGAAACAGTATTCTTTTGTGTGTGTGATTTATAAAATGTACGTAAATGTAAAAGTGAAGGAAAAATGCAGTGGAAAATTTGTGGAGGGTATGTAATGAAAAAATACAGCATGGGACTTTTCTGAAACTACGAAGTCTTTATTTGCTTGGTGTATTTCTATGCATCTTTTAATGATGCATTCATTTAATGACAATGGCATATATCAGTCCTGGATAGATAACAAATCTAAATGGAGGTCATGGCCTCTGTAAGTCTTAATGCTCAGTGCTACAAGGCATTTCAGAGGGAAGAAGTATTTTTCCTTGGAAGAACCCGTGCAATTGTACTCCTGCAAATACTGAGGGATAAGATTGTTTATTCATGAAAACCAGATTTCGATACTTGGATGCATTTTTAAACAGATTCAGGGCAATGTGCTTAGATCCTTGCCACTTTGGGTCTGCACCTAAGAGATGGACCCGTTTAATTATAGGATAGAATCCAAATGTTTAAATTATAACATTTAAATAATTAAATTTAAATAAATAAATAAATAAATAAATTATGTTTGACTTCAGAAACAGAGGATAATATGTTTTCCAAACCTGCCAGTAATAGAACAAACACACTGGCTCTATGTGATTAGATGTCAAGATATCAAGCAATAGCAAAGTGAATCATTGAGAGAGCCAGTTTGGCCTACTGGTTAAGGCTTCATCTCTCTCTCTCTCTCTCTCTTTCTCTCTCTCTCTCCCTGATGTCAGGCTGGGGCAACAAGCTGATCAGTCAATTCCTGTTGTGACCAATAGATCAACACTTGGTTGATCTGAAAAAAAAAAGTGGTCCCTGTGCTTGTGGGAAAATGCTTAGCCAAGGCGGGGAAGCAAAGTAGGGAAGGAAGCACAGTGAATCCCCAAAGTTTTATGGATAATATATTCTTTGCAATGCTCACAGAGAGTATGTATTGGAAAAACTGTAGAAACAAGCATATTTTTCTGATTAGAAGTCCATGGAATGATGCAAAATGTTTGCATTTGAAATCCCTTCCCTTCAATGTTCCAATTCTCTCGGAAGTCACTTGAACATCTCTACAGCTGTCTTAAAAATGTAAGGAGTGCCTAAGCAAGATCTGGTCTTCAGTGAATGCCTTTCAATATGACTTAACTGAAATAGCAGCTAAAGGGATAAGGGGAAGTGATGGAAAGTGATGTCACCACTAAATGTTTTCAAAGAAAGGGTTAAATGTTGTAACTTCTCTATCTTACATTTCTGGTATAAATATTGTGCCAGGAGTCACCATCTCAACATCTGAAACGTTTGGAGGAACAAGTGAATATTAAAACCAGTAAGTATAACAATAATCTCTTGTACTACAGAAAAAGGAATGTTGGTAGAGAAGCATAATCTAACTAATTTATTTCTCTCTCTCGCCCAATGAAGTTATCTGTGTCTTCATTAGAATTTTAAAGATAAAAGGACTACCACCATGTAAAGGGAATTACATGATTTTTCTGATGTTTTTTTAGTTATTTTTCAGATGATGAGAGAAAAGAATAAGGAGAGGAATTAGCAGAACACACACTGTAGATACATCTTTTAACATTTTTCCAGTTATTCAGAATAAATTGAGCATACAAGTTTAAGAAATGTATTGTTAGAGCAATATGACTGTTGAATATATATATGAAATTGTTCTGATGTTTCAGTATGTTTTTTGATCTGCAAAAGGCTTCTTCTTTTCTTCTTCTTCCTCCTCCTCCTCCTTTCTTCTCCTTTCTCCTTTCTTCTTGTTCTTCTTCCTTTATTCTTCTTCCTTTATTCTTACTTCTTTAAATAGAAGTTCATCCTGTAGGTTCATTCATATGAATGAACTGAATAGATATACATTATAATTTGTAATTGTTTCTAAAAAAAAAGATAAAGTATTTTCCAAACAGAAGTGGAGGGGGGTTAGTTCAGATTTTATTGTTCCATGTTTTTCCTTTGGATAGCAGAAATATTTTTTGTTCTATCTACAATTCTTCTTCTTATAAAACTAAACTGAAACAAAAATACTGGTGTCTTCTATAGATATCTAGGCTCAGACCTGCTGCAAAGAACTTTTTTTACATAAAATGCTTGTGGTCATATAGCTTTTTAACAAGAAGAATAATGTCATATGTTATATGTAGCACAGCCATTAAGAAATATATGTCTTTTGTTAAACAGGCACAGGATGCGGGCATTAATTATTACATTATGCCTGATTCACGGATTTGCTTACTCAAAGCTAATAAGAACAAAGAGAGCTACGAATTCAGAAGCCTTTATGAATGTTGTAAGTTTCCTTTCACTATTAATGGAAAATTAATATGATGCTTGACTTTAAATGTGCTACTCATGTTTTTAAAGTTAGACTCATTATCTCCTGGGTTTTTCAAATTAAATTATCTATCATCCATTTATCAACTTACATGATTGATTTTCTTTCCCTATTTTTAAAAGATGTACTGTATTTAATAAATGTTGCAATCTATCGAAGTGTGTTCTATTGTGATTGATTCATTCAGTGTACATTTCATACATCAGAACAGCCAGAGGCTTAAGGAAAACTAGCAGAGTTATTCTATTTAGTTATCCAAAAGGTAAGGTAAGAGAGATGTGGTATTCATTTCCATCCTCTGTTGAAACCATGTTTAAAGGTCTTGGAAGTATATCAAATGCACATATCTTCAAGATCCTCATGCCCTTTTCTCCCACTTTATGAATATAAATCAAGGCAACCTTACACTAAACTAATCTAAAGCCAACTGAGCATTTCGCATGTGATGAAAGCTGAATAAATGATATCAAATTTTTACAAACATTCTTATGTTTGTAAAACATCACACTATATTTATCTGTTTATTCAAATGATCTTCTATGGATAATAGAGATTCAAGCCATTCTCATGTTTACTTTGATTTTCACCTAAGGCCAATTACTGCAGATTCAAGAAGTGTTTACGCTGTGGGACAAAATATGTCCCCATCAACTGGTCATCCATCTTCCCTCAGATCTTTCTGGTTAATATTTATTTTTAAAAAGATGCATAATATGGTGTTGTTTCAATCATTAGTTTTATGGCTCCTAGGGGGAAAAACACTACCTAGAAAATGAGGAGTAAACTAAAAGACACTATTATGACAGCAGCTTTAAAGAGAGTGAGACAACAGGAGAACTGTGTGACAAAAAAATTTATCCTTGCAACTTGCTATCAGTTACTTAAAATTCTATTTCTCTAATCATCCAGTGCTCAGCTGCAGATACATCAATTCCAGAAGATGAGATTAGGTAGTGCCACAAATTCTTAAAATATCTGTTGATTTGTTGGTTTGGTTTTATTATGTTGCAGAATGAACTTATCATCCACAAAGGCTACCTGAGTGAGGAGTACAAAGTGATAACAGCAGATGGCTATATTCTTAGCTTGAACAGAATTCCATCAGGCAGAAACTATCAAATGGATTTTGGTGAGATAAATTGTTATAACATAGGGTTAAGGTAGAAACATATAAGGAAAAAATGAAGCACATATCTAGGATTTATCTTTATAAGTGAATGGATAAAAATTGTCCAGATAAATTGAATCCTAGTCCAATCTAATAGATCCTACATAGATAAATCACATTTTTTCCCACAATTTAATCTTTTGACACATTTATTCCTAGTAAAACAAAATAATTTTAATATTAAGTAGAATATTTTTTCTTTCTTCAGATATGAAACCTGTAGTATTTCTCCAACATGGTTTGCTAGGAGATGCAAGTAACTGGGTTACCAACTTTGCCCACAACAGTTTGGGTTTCATCCTCGCAGATGCTGGATTTGATGTTTGGATGGGAAACAGCAGGGGAAATACTTGGTCCAGAAGTCACCAAAAGCTGTCTGTGAGTGAAGATGAATTTTGGGCTTTCAGGTATATTTAATTATTGCAATCTTGGTATTTTGCAGCAGGGAAGTGGAATGAAATGAGAAAATAATTTCGATATCATGCTATAAATTATTTAAGATCCAAAATAATTCAATGAGAGCTGGTATTTGCTTCTAGAGATGAATGCATATTTTGTAATCCATATTGTATATTCCATATTCTAACATTTGTACATGTCTACAAACTGTTTCTTCAGAATTGTGGAATATGTTTCCATATGAAGCTAATATGGAATAGGCATTTTTGATACACCATCTAGAGGATAACTATTGTATATACCATTCCCATTTTATTTCACTTACTGTTTTGCTTTCCTTCAGAATCCCAAATTTAAATTCATTCCTAAATTCAATTCTTTTGTCTTGTATCTTTCCCTAGCTTTGATGAAATGGCAAAGTATGATCTTCCAGCTGTCATCAATTTCATTCTAAAGAAAACTGGCCAACAACAGTTGTACTATGTTGGCTACTCACAGGGTGCTACAATAGGTATGTCAAAGAAGAAAAGCTGATATGTAGTGTGGCATAACCATTTGTGTTACAGCAGTCTAGCTATGGAGGAATTTCATACTATGAGGAAAGAGAAAAGAGGAGGAAGAAGATTAATAATAAAATAGTGTTACACTGGATTTGTGCCTTGTTCGAAAGTTTTGAGAGTTCTCATTTCATTCAGGTGAGGAACACGATTGCAAGCCCCACCAGTAGCATTCCTTTGAAGCTTTCATGAAAAGAACTGAAGCAGGGTACCCATACTTTTTTCCTCATTGTGATATTATCTTCATTTTGTGACTGTATTGCTCCATTACCCCTGCCTCCCTTGTCAAAGTTGGCCTGGGCTAGAGTTTCAAAGGCCTGTTGGGAAGAATACTGGCTGCTACTATTGATGCTAAAAACAAAAAAGGGCCAAGAAGCTGACGCCTCTAATCCTCAAGATAATTTGCATTCCCCTCCCTCCAAAAACATTGCTATCCCTTTCTCCAGTTCTGTCACTTTTATATCACCGAATAGCAAAACTACTGATAATGATGGCACCAAAAAAAGATTCTAGAAATTGCTAGAAGGGGGGGGAAAGGGTTATATAAACTATGAGGAAGCTAGGATAATATCTCTGAGATATTATCCACCAAAAGATAAGGTAATGAGGTGAATTTAGCTAGCCAATCAGAATTGCTGATGTAATGTATGAACTGTATTAATAATACCTCTTGGGAGGTGAAGTAGTGCGTTTGCTTTGATATGTTAGTCCCGAGTGCAAATTCTTTATCTCTGCTCATAAATAAAGTTTTTAAAATATTCCTACTATTGGCTAACTCACAACAAATGAAGCAAACTGAGCAACAGTAATTTTTACACTAAGAAAATTAGGCTTCTATGAACCCCCCAGATATAAAAGCTTTAAGGTATGATAAAACTGAGTCAAAAATGCTTTAGGTACAGAGAACCATTTTAAAGACTATTAATTTGAAAACGTTGCAATAAAGATAGTGTTTTGGTTTACTTTTTTTAGTATAAAACAGTCCATTATCAAAAGTGAATTCAAATGTTTCCTTTCACAGTATTGAATGAATGTGTACATGAATTACTCTTGTCCACCATTCAGTGCTATAAATGGTCATTACCTTTCCTGCTATTTGTCCATGAACAGATATATGTGGGAACAGCTCCTCCATATAAAAAGGGATCTAATCAGATCTCTTTTTATACGGATGAGGATAACTTGCCATTCACACCATGGCTGAGGGTAACTTACCTTAATAAATCTCAAATGCATATTTCTTAGGGCAACATGGGGCTGGTGTGATATAGTATAGTATGGAAGAACATGGATTGGTATCTAAAATGTATTGATCTAAAAAGGCAGGATGATGGTTACAGTCAGACAGTGGCACTCACCATCTTAATTTATTTTAATACTCACCTGTGGATGTCCTTAGCATTTGTTCAGCCTTGTGTTGAGTATTCTACAAGAGAATTTGTACATAGGATGTTTCAAAAGATGTTTGAAAGTTAAAAGAAAATTTGTGTAGGAAATGAGCAGCCTGAGCTGAAAGGTCAGTTTGCAATTGTCCTAAAGGTGCTTTTTCAAGAGGCTACTGGATTTTTCTGGTTTTTCTTTGAAGACATTTCCGTTCCCCACCTTCCAGTCAGAGCTGAAAAACTTCTTGGATGAGAAGCGAAACGTTTTCAGAGAAAAACTGGAAAGTCCAGTTGCCTCCTTGAAAAAGCACCTTTGGGAAAAACCATGACCTGGATGTCTGAGAATCTCCATAGACAGTCAATTTGCAATCATTTGTAGCCACAAGAGACCCAAGTCTAGCTCCCTGTGAATTCGGTCGAACTTTATCTAGCACCCATTTAGTTTTGACCAGATTTAGTTGGCCAGATTCTTGCCTTATAAGAATAAAAAAACCTCTTCCCTGCTTTGAAAGTGTATGCTCCTTGTTCTTTGCACCTGACAGTTTGTATTGTATGTTAAGTTTGAGGCATGGGTTTAATGAATGGAGACCAGACTGTAAACCGTGAACTTCAGCTCTTTATTCACAAGCATAACAGAGACAAAAAAAACCCGGCTAGCAGTCACTCTTTTATAGAGTAAGCTGCTATCCGGATAACCAATGGATAGCGTTATAGCGTTTGAATCTTGGTGCGGCCCGCCAATAGCCAATCAGATTGCTCGGAATGAACCAATCATAACTTGCCATTATATGGGCCAATAGGAAGTGCAGGATTACGATCCTGCTATGCAAATGAATCTTTATTAAATACATTTCTTTAGTTCACAACATTGTATATAGAGTTTCTTTGTTCTGTCTCTCTCTCCATGTATATCTTTATTTCTGTGAGTGGGGCTGGGAACACCAGCACCCACCACTCATGTGGCCCGGTTGCAAATAGACCACAGCCTGGTGGTCAGAAAAATATAGTCATACAAAAGCGCATCCATAAAATCCTACTGTATTAAGATAGATATGCCCAATATATTGAAATGTTACTGTATAAACTAAATAGGGTGGGAAGGAAAGCTCCTGCTGAGTTTTATTCCTTTTAAAAAGAAAAATCTTTTTTTTGTCTCTTCCTTAATTTTTCTCAGGATTTGTAGCATTTTCAGCCATGCCAGAATTGGCTCAGAAGATCAAGATGTTTTTTGCCTTAGGCCCTGTGGCTAGAATTAAGTATGCCAAAAGCCCTATAATAAAACTTCTTAATCTCCCAGAGACGTTCCTTTCGGTAAGTTCATATTTTATTCCAATTCCTGTTCATCCAAAAAGTCATTAAAGCACATGTCCTTAATTTGAAAATTTCACTAGGTTTTAGTAGTCTTATCTCTGTATGTGGAGGCATCACAGATGATGGTCAGCAAATTGAAAATAACAGTCACAATTTCACAATCAAAAGGATATCCTTTTATATGTGACACACAAACACTATCTTTGTCATCATTGCCACCTTTATTTTTCTCTATCAGAAGAGATGCCCCTGTCTTTGTGATATGTAACCACAGTGCCAGGTCTGGCTAAGAGGGCCTTTGCCAAATTTTAATTGGAGTGTCAATTCCACCAGTTCCTCCTCATAGTTATACAAGTGAGAGGTGGTATTCAGCAGGTTCTGACCAGTTCTGGGGAACTGGTAGCGGAAATTCAGAGAACTGGCAAATACCACCTCTGACTGGAGATTTTACAGTATCCTTCCCCTGCCACACCCACCAAGCCACTCCCACAGAATCAGTAGTAAAAAAAATTAAATCCCACCACTGATACAAGTCCTTATTCACCTCTGTGATGGATTGCTGCAATGAGCTGCACATGGACCTGATCTTGAACACCATCTGGATGCTACAGTTGCTCTAACATACAACAACATGCTTATGTAACACCACTACCTGGTGAACTCTGGCTTCCAGTAGGCTTCCTGGTACCATTCAAGAAACTGGTTATCACCTGTAAAGGTCTACATGACACAAGAATAGACTATTTATTAAAGATGTTCATCTCAAGCTTGATTTAGACTTGTGTGTAAATGTCAATGTATGCCTATGCTATGTTGTAAAGGGGTTGATGGATAAGCATAGATTGCAAATGGTTGGAGACAGGCTGACATGCACACTTCCCAAATCTCAATGACAGGTTGTGCGGAGATGCACATCCTGCATGTTGATTGGTTGATCTGATTTCCTGTTGTTGTTTGAGTGCCCCCTAGCCAGAACATTAACGAGCCATGGTGGCGCAATGGTTAGAATGCAGTACTACTTCAGCTGACTGTTGGCTGCCAGCAGTTTGGCAGTTCGATTCCCACTGGCTCAAGGTTGACTGTCATGCCCCTGTTGGAATCTGATTCCAAGGGGGAGGTCGAAAAGCTGACAGGGAGTGGGAGTGTGGCTCTGGTGGCTGTGGAGGAAACTGGAGAAGGGCACAGTCCAGCTGGGCATTCAGAGGAAGACCCAGGCCCACCCCCCTCTTCATCCTAGGGCACGTAATGAGGAACGGATAAGGGAGCAACGTGGGTTATGAGGGAGAAAAGGGCCCCGATTCCCTTCATTAGCTGCAGCTGGGAAAACAGGATTTTAAAAGGGCATTTGTGCATAGCACCTTGCTGGAAGCAAAGCATGCATTATCTTTGTTTGTCACATCTTATCTGGGTTCTGGTGTCCTCCCAACTGTGTGTGTTTCGTTATCTTTTGGAAGTCTGCAATTCCTTATCCTGCCCTGTCTCGTTAATTGCTGCAGTGTGGTTTGTGTTGGTTTTATTTATAATTTAGATGTACTTTGGATTCAGACTGAATTTCTTCCCTTTAAAAACTGTTTTTGGGAGAGTTTTTTTTCCAGCCGATGATAACTGGACATTGGGGGCCAAGTTGGAGGAATTAAAGGGACTTTACCTACTTTTGTGACTTTGTTGCTTTTGTGCCACACCCCGGGTCATCACACTGACTCAGCTTTCCATCCTTCAGTGGTTGGTAAAATGAGGACCTCATATTCTTGATTAATCTAAATGCTCAAAATCACATATCCTGTGTATTATTTTCCTATGCCATTCCACATAGAGAGAAGCCTCCCTTTTCATCTAATGCCATTAAAGCTACTGTCTATTTACAGGTTCTACCCTTCGGTCTATATAATTCCTCTAATGTAACCATGTACTAATAACAGAAGTCATGAAGAACATTCAGACATGAGAAGAACTACATGATTACTTCAGCCTGGCAGATTTTTTTTTTAATTTATGTGTTTTGGTATTTTGTAGACTTTGTTTGGCAAAAGAGAATTCCTTCCCCAGAAGTGGCTAGTTAGAAAGGCTCTTGCTACTTTCTGCAGCCAGCGTCCTTTTGTTAATGTTTGTGGAAACGTCTTTTTTCATCTCAGTGGCTATAACATGAAAAATATAAATATGGTGAGTATTGACTGCTTACAGCCTTTGATCACAAAATACAATAGATGTGCATTTATTTAACCAAAACCACGTTAAAACAAACCTAAATATAAATAGAACCAGCTGCACTTCAACTTTGTTTTTTTATGGGTCACTATTAGCTGTATCCACCAGATGTAATGTAGACATAAACAAGATGAAGAAAGAATAATAAGTTATGCAAGGATAATAGAACTAAGTATATTTTGAATCATTTTAAAGGCTATTATATGCATTGGGTGGGGCCTAATCAGGTACTGGTTTTTATACTTCTAAAATATTTAATGTGGTTTTCAGCTAAAATTGAAAAACATTTATTTAGAAATGTGTTTTCAGTCAATGTTCATTTTGAGGAGACTAACATTTCCTTCCTTCTTTCCTCCCTTTAGAGCCGAATAAACACATATGTGGGCCAAACACCAGCTGGAACATCTGTACAAAATATATTGCACTGGAGCCAGGTATCTTTGCTTATTGTAATATTATTGCTTGTTAAGAAGTGATACTTTAGAACAGGGGTCCCCAACCTGTGGGCTGTGGCCCACTACCGGACATGGTCTATTTGCAACCATGCCACAAGAGTGGTGGGTACTGGCGCTCGCAGCCCCACTTACACAAATAAAGCTGTACAGACCTGTTCCTCACACAAAACCATTTCCTCATCCCCCAACCGCACTGGGCCACCAACCCGGAAAGGTTGGGGAACGCTGTTTTACAATGGCATTATTCATTTGTGCAATTACGGCATCATCTATGGCAGGGATGTCAAACTCATGGCGTCATCATGTGATGTATTATGACTTTTTTCCCCTTTGCTAAACTGAGCATGGACGGGGCCAGCGCATGATGCATCTGGTCCATGGGCCACAAGTTTGGCAGTCCTATGGCAGTATTTTTTTAAATATAGCAACCTTAAAATGTGCAACTTTAAGATCCCAGAATTCCCCAGGCTAGCAGGGAGTTGAAGTCCACACATTTTGAAAGTTCTCAAGTTTGAAAAAACAGATCTATAGTAACGACAACAAAAGTACATAGACAAATATGATTTTTTATTTTAAATATGCTATCATTTATTTATTTATTTTTGAGTCTGGTTCTGGGTGGGGCTTAAACTTTAAAAGTAAGAAAAGTAAAATTATTTCAAGAGGGAAATCATTGCTTTTCCCTTTCACACAACTTATGAGCCAAGGCATCATATGCCTTCCTACGGAAATTCTCAGTCATCCAAGTCTTGGTTGTCCCAAAGATAGCTTTTCAAGAGGCAACTGGACTTTCTGGTTTTTCTTTGAAGAAATTTTTATACTGCAATAATATGTGTGTCTCCTCAAAAATAATAGAATGGTAGAATGAGATTACTAGGTAAATGTGAGTAGAGTTGTATTTCTCATGAACATAAAGTTTCTGTCAAGGGTTTAGAGGCATTACAACTTGAACATTCAATAGACAAAGGTACAGTACCTGTATGATTGTAATTAATCATTACTAATTCACTAATAGTGCATTTCATTTAATCCCTGCCTTATTACTAGAATTTTCGTTGTGGATTATTCAAGGGTTTTGACTGGGGTGATGAGAGGAAGAATAAAATAAAGCACAAACAGGTATGGCAATATTTGTTTATTTACAGGCAAAATTTTTGGAAAAAAAAATAAAGCAAAGAAAATGTATGTGGTGAGAAATAATTCATAGACACCATGTAATTTTGACTATCTCATCCAATCTGATTCAACCCATCCGAGGTGTCTTTCCCTGAGAAACTATTAGTAGAACCCCAATTCCAGGAAGGGAGAGGGAAGTGTTATTTCTCTCTGATGGCCATCGTCTTCTGAAATAGCTTCCTCATGAAGGCAAGACATTCTCCATTATTAATAGTCTTCAGATTGCTAGTTGAAGCCAATTTATTCCAGAGAACTTGGGGATAAATCATAACCACATCAGGAATGTTGTTTTTAATTGAGTTTTAATTTTCCATGAACACTTGTTAAATGTCTATTCATTGTTGTGAATCTAACTTTCTAGGTATAATCAGATAGTACTATCTGTAAGGGTAAGGTGGAAATGGAATCCTGATGGTCCCAGCAGCAATAAGAAACTCTTAGTGAAGCTCTGCTTCAAAATCAAAAATGGGCATGGGATTGACTTGACAGCTGAATTTCCTTACAGAGATACATCAAGCAGAATTTCTCCCTGCTCTTTTTCCCCCATCAATATGCCACCAAAATGTCCACATCAAGCTGGGCAGTCTAAGAGGCAATTATATTTCCTCTCTGACCCAATAATGTCCAAGATATACTTGCAGTTGAAAATATCAAGTACTCAGAACCAGAACTTTGTGAATAGCTCTGTTCTACTTCTTGAATTAGAACAATACCCACACAAATCTACAACCAGATTTACACAAAGAGTTCAAGAATATCCTTTACACACCAGTAATTATTCAACTTTGTAGGAATGAATTCCATTCATCCATAACTTCATACTCTGTTTGGCAAATGCAATTTCTTTCCCTCCCTCTCTTTTGCTCTGCCATCAACAAAAAAAAAGCCAAACATATTTTAAAGCCCAAAGATATCCACAGAATTCAATAACGTTACTTGAGTAGCCCAACTGAGTTGTTTATTCTCATTTTTAGGGTATTATTGATTTCTCCTATACTTCATCTGGGATGGCCACAATCCAAATTCACACTCTTGTGCATCCTTTCTAATCACAGTTTCTTCTCTCAGCTGTCAAACAGAGAATGCTCTTCTTACTAAGCATAATCCTCACTCGCTTGCTGTCAGTCTTCTCTCCAGCTAATACATGGGTGGTTTTCCTCCAAGGGTGGATTCACCTCTCTTGAACCCAAGCTGCAAGCAGGCATGCCCAAAAATTGGGGAAAGCTTTGTGCATTCTCTCTTTGACTCCAACATACAAACAAGTCAGCAATTTTTATTTATTTTTATTTTATTTTGTCAAATGCTTACAATATAAAATAAAAATAAATATAAGTTTAAATATAAGAAATAGGAACTAATAATTGGGGACAATAGGACAGGGACAATTGTGCGCTTATGAATGCCTTGTGTTTTGCCTTGTGTTCTGATAGAAAGCTTGTTTAGCTGCTCTTTATCATCTTTGTCTTCCTCTTACTTGAAAATTTCACCTTTTTTCTCCTCATCTCAAGTTATGTTCTTGTCTGACTTTAAATCTTTTACTTTTGTTGTTATTGTTTCCTCCCATTGCTACATTAGCCCAGCCACTTCCTCTTCTTCATCTAGGCCAGGGGTGTCAAATTCATGTTGTCATGGCGGTGTCACGTGACGTATCAGGACTTTCCCCCCCCCCTTCGCTAAACCAGGCAGGGGCAAAGCCAGCACATGACACATCCGGCCCATGGGCCATGAGTTTGACACCCCTGGTCTAGACCATGCCTTCCAAATGTGTTTCCTCTCTGGGTCAAACTTCTCTACTGAGTGGAGTCCTCCAAAAATTCTCCAGCCAGCATCTAGCTGAGGAATTCTTGGAGCTGAAGTCCACATATCTTAAAACTGCCAAGTTTGAGAAACAGATAACAAATAATCAGAGTTGGAAGGGACCTTGTAGGTCATCTAGTCCAACCCCCCACCCAAGCGGGAGACCCTACACCATTTCTGACAAATGGCAGTCCAATCTCTTCTTGAAGGTCTCAAGTGATGAAGCTCCCACAACTTCCGAGGGCAAGCTGTTCCATTGGTTGATTGTTCTCACTGTCAGAAAGTTTCTCCTTATTTCCAGGTTAAATCTCTCCTTGTTCAGTTTCCATCCATTATTCCTTGTCTGGCCTACAGGCACTTTAGAAAATAGCTTGACCCCTTCCTCCCTGTGGCAGCCCTCAAATATTGGAAGACTGCTATCATGTCTCCCCTGGTACTTCTCTTTACTAGACTAGCCAGGCCTAGTTCCTGTAACCATTCTTCATGTTTTTTAGTCTCCAGTCCCCTAATCATCCTGGTTGCTCTTCTCTGCACTTTTTCTAGAGTCTCCACATCTTTTTTATAATGTGGTAACCAAAACTGGATGCAGTACTCTGGGTGTGGTCTTGCTAAGGCTTTATAGAGTGGTATTACTACCTCACTTGATCTCGATTGTATCCCTCTGTTAATGCAATTTAGGATTGCATTAGCTTTTTTAGCTACTGCTGCACACTGCTGGCTCATATTTAGCTGGTTGTCCACTAAGACTCCAAGATTCCTCTCACAGTTACTGCTATTGAGCCTGGTTTCACCCAGTCTATATGTGTACTTTTTGTTTTTCTTGCCTAAGTGTAGGACTTTACTTTTCTCTACATTGAATTTCATTTTGTTAGATACGGCCCAGTGTTCTAGTCTGTCAAGATCCATCAGGATCTTGAGCGTATCTTCTTGGGTGTTAGCTATACCTGCCAGCTTAGTATCATCTGCAAATTTGGTAAGTTCCCCTTCTATTCCCTCATCTAAGTCGTTAATGAAAATATTGAAGAGTACTGGGCCTAAGATGGAACCTTGTGGTACCCCACTGCTTACTTCCCTCCTTGTAGACTTAGACCCATTAAGGACTACTCGTTGAGTGCGGTTTGCCAGCCAGTTGTGAGTCCATCTAGTGGTGGTGCTATCTATTCCACTTTTTTCTAGCTTGCTAAGAAGTAGGTTGTGGTCTACTTTGTCGAATGCCTTGCTGAAATCTAAATATATTACGTCCACAGTATTTTGCTGGTCTACTAATTTAGTCACTATGTTGAAGAATGAAATAAGATTGGTTTGGCATGATCTGTTCTTAACACTGCTCCAGAGGAGCCATTTTTCTTTCCTCAGGAGCCGTTTTTCTGTCCTGAGGAGCCCAATTCTATCCTTGCAGAATGCGTCTGTGTATGCTAAGAAACTCCTTATCTCAACTTTATTTCACTACATTATTTCACTATTGTTTACCTTTACATCTTCTTTACCATATCCTGCTAATTACAAAACCTGGCAGCCAGATTCCTATTCCTTGCATGCACAATATGCCATGATAAAATTATAATCAGGACACTTAGTTATGACATGACAACATGATTCCTCAGCACCTTGCTTGCAGTTGATTATTTTTGTTATTCTCAGATGACAATCAGAATGCCATATATGCTGAATAGAGAAAACAAACACATTCTATCAAGATTTTTTTATTGTATTCTGACCAAATCTGTAATTCTTGGAATGTACAAGAATGGAATTAGGATGGGCCTTCATGTGAGAACAGCCCATTTTGAGATCAGGACACTTTACATGCACTCCCTGTTACAAGCCATGCATGACTTAACACTCCCAATATTTAGTAAAGAATTAGTAAAAACTGAAAGTCTTATGAGGGGAAGGAGCAATGTAAGAGCCATGGTGGCACAGTGGTTAGAATGCAGTACTGCAGGCTACTTCTGCTGCCTGCCAGCTGCCTGCAATTTGGCAGATCAAATCTCACCAGCCTCAAGGTTGACTCAGCCTTCCATCCTTCCGAGGTCGATAAAATGAGGACCCAGATTGTTGGGGGCAATATGCTGACTTTGGAAACCACTTAGAGAGAGCTGTAAAGCACTGTGAAGTGGTATATAAGTCTAAGTGCTATTGCTATTGCTAAAAGGGAAAGCAGTAATAATAACAAATCCAAAAGGGCTTAAGCCCTTACTATCTGAATGAACAACTGTCCCACTGTGAATTTGATAACTGACTTAGATCAGCAAGGGAGGTTTTTGGATAATTCCTCTTGCTGCTTGGCTGTGATGGTTGCCCCTCCCTCTTTCCAATATTTAAGAAAATGGCATCTACCCCATCAAGCATTTAATTATTACTTACTTTAACAATGTTCCTTAAAATCATTTTAATGATTTTGATTTTAATTGCATTAATTTTATTGTTGTTTATGTGTTCTCATCATATGCTAAATAATAATAAAAATGTTTTATTTCTTAATGTTTGTAAGCCTTCCAAGAACTATAAAGAATTCATTTAAATACACTAACTCTTCTTCCATTTATATGTTTTTTTTTTTTTTTTTTTTTTTAAAAAGCCACTGCTTTAACTATTTTTTGTATTGTTTTATTTATCTATATATTTTCTAGCCTACTCCTCCATTATATAAAGTGAACGATATGACAATTCCAACTGCGGTATGGACCGGAGGAAAAGATTTACTTTCTGACCCAAAAGATATTGCTATTTTATTGCCTCAAATCAAATACCTTGTTTCCCATAAATACATTCCAGACTGGGCACACCTCGATTTCATCTGGGGTCTGGACGCACCCCGACGCATGTATAATGAAATAATCGCTCTGATGAAGAAGCATGCATAATCTCTTCCAAAACAAAATGGACAACTTGAGCACCAGTGTAATGACCTTCACTGTAATTCTCCCTTATATTTGTCACCTATCACATCATCCTTTGATTTAATGTGCTACTTCCCCTCCCCCTTCTGGCCTTTATTCTATCATTTTCCTAGTCTTTGGGAAACTAAACATATCAATTTGAAGTGAAAAGGTCACAGAATTTGATTTAATGTGGAGGATTTTCAGAAGTGAGTTCAAGTGAAACAACATGGTTATTTCATTTAACTGTTCTAAATAATTTTATATGTGTGGTTAGCCAAATTTCATGCCCAAGTTATTAAATCCCACAAACAACATGTTGCAGATTTATATCTGCAGTAATAAAGAATAAAGGTAAAGAAAAAGGTTAAGGGTGAGTTATGTCACATGCTATGTCGTTAGAATTTTACATATGGTTTGAAATGCACTAAAGGCAAATCAAGATAGCAATTAGTGCCAATGTAATCACCAGGAATCCAGATGAACTTGGTAGCACCAAACTAAGTAATGCTTGGCAGACAGTTTTTTTAAACCTGTCTCTTCATATCTTCCTGCTGTTTGGGATTATTAAATTTGTAATGACTCATAAGAGTACCAAATTGCTCACAATCTTCAGATGAACTCAATTTCCTGAGCCGCCAACTATTTTATGAAGCACATCTACTTCATCAAGGCACGTGCAACTCATCTGAAATAAATCCCTGTATTTATTCTGCCAAGACTTTACTTCTAAAAGATCTACCCGTCAAATTAATGTGTTATTATACTTATTTATGCTATGCTATAATCCTGTTTTGATCTACCCAGTTGTTAGACATAATTGGAAACAATCCAATTTAATATGTAGGAGTTTCCATGAAATGTCAGCAAATTGGACTTGGTTTTCCTATAAACAGCTTCTTGGATGACAAATGAATGTGTCAGTTCTGCCTTCTTCGTCTTGGTGCTTTGCCAAGTATCCTGACATCAAAAGCTAAGATGGAGGGGACAAGACGGGACAAATGGGCAATAAACTTGTAGGAGGTTGTGATGGGAAATAGGGAGGGGGGATGACAGCTTGTTGAAGACCAGGGCAGCACAGAACCATTTTGTGCCAGCACTCAAGACCACGCACCCTGAGAACGAAATGTGGATCACCTTAAACATTTCAGCGATTCTAAAAACACCTAGATGACTTTCCTGAAGATGAACTAGTCAAAGGAAGGAGGGCTGGGACAAGGAGAAAAATGTGTAACCTTTTGCTTGGGAATCTTTCATTGGGCCCTGACTTTACTGCAACCAGCAATCTTTAGTAAAAGAGCCTATCACTTCACCCAAATGGAGTCAAGGGTCTTTCTTTCCTAAAGGATCTGACTCGGTCAGGTCTGACATTAGGCCAGAATTGCAATAACAGCTAACCCAGAGAGAAACCTCTACCATGGGAGCTGGGCAAAATATGTCAATCCACGAAAGTGATCAGGAGGAAGTTGAAGCCTGGGGTAAGTGGTATCCTTGAGAACCTATGGGAGAGCAGTCCTTTCTGAATGACTAGGTGAGGTGGAAAGAAAACCAGTGGGAGAACCTGATGGTCAACAGGATTGGAAGGAAGGAAGATTGGGAAGAAAAGCTCTCTGAGGTAACATTCACATGTGGGAGCCAGGGAAGCTGCCAGAGAGAGCTGTAAGAACTTGAGGAGGAGGTAAGCCAGGGCAAGACCATCCAGGAGGATGAGATGCTGGAGTGCATGATTGAGTACCCATGGGGGGCATTTGGCAACCTCAAAACATGTCAAGCCCTAGTGCAGATGACTCAGCTGGCAGCTCAACCAGTGCAAGCACTGCAAGAGATGGCGCAGCTGCAGCCACTGCTGCAGCTGCAGTGGTACCTGCCTCAGCAACTCAGGCAAGGCTCTGGCTCCACAACTAGTTGCCACCATAGCAGCTCAGCCAACAGCTCCAGCCTGGGCTGCGCAACTGAGAAGGAGAAGCCGCAAACCACCAGCCCTTGGAGTGAAGTACAATGGAGACCCTAAGCAGCTGGGGTTCTTCCTGGCTCAAGTCTGGACCTCTATGCAAGAGTATGGTCCAGACATAGCCAGTGAAGTGGCAAAGTTATGGTGTGTGACCATGGTGCTGAAGGACACTGCAGTGTGTGAATGGGCACCTTCCACAACAATGATGCCCCAGAGCTTTGACTGGTTCATAGAGGCACTCCAAAAATGCTGGCCTGGCTGACCACAAGGCCAGAACCAGGATCAAGACCGTAAACCAGAGTTGCTGTCCTGTAGCTGCCTACACCCAAGAATTCTGAGATCTGGCATGCTGACTGACCGACATTGCAAGGCATGCTGATTGAATGCTTCCAGGATGGGCTGAATGATGATGTCTACAATAGCTGCATCTCTAGGGGAGGACCTCCCCAGTGGCGGGATTTAAATATTTTAGCAACTGGTTTGCCCAAGGTCCGGTTGGTTGTAGTGGGAGGCATGGTCCATCCCCATGTCCCAGTTCTGCCACACATGTCGGTCGAGCCTCCTGCGATGGCCAACCCAATCCTACATGAACCGGTTGTTAAATTACACTTTCCATCAAAGTGGATCCTGAGCTGCAATGGAGAAACAGGAAACAGAATGGCTGACATGAGGGAAGGAGGAGGAGCAGGGAGAAATAAATCAATGAACGAGTAGTTACACCGGTCAGATCCCTCCCCTAGATTCACTCTTTTTAAAATGGCCATGGGGCAGGACTTTATATCTATCCCCTAACAGCCCCAGGCTACCTCCACCAACTTCCACCTTAAAAGAATGGATTTTGCAATTATAAAACATTTGACCAGTAGTTAGAAAAGCTTTGGAGGAGGCAAGGGAAGCATATAAAAAATAAACCAACAAAAGGCGTTCAAAGTCTAAGTACCTTAAAGTTTGGGACAAAGTCTATCTATCCACCAAATACCTGATGTCTAGAAAACCCTCCCAAAAACTGGGTCTAAAGTACGTTGGCCCTTTCCCCATAAAAGGGGGTATTAATCCTGGGCCTGTTGAACTTAGCAAAAACACTGCAGCCTCCTAAAACCAGAAATCACTTCATCCCTACCCCTAGAAACAAAACTTCCTCCCAGTCCCATCATGATCAAAGGAGAGCAACATTGTGAGGTCAAGGATATATTGGACTGTCCCATGCACTGAGGTATATCCTTCCCTTTGAAACTGAGTGCATGGATTCCAAACATATTAAAGCATCCAAGCTACTTAAGAAGTTCCACGAATAATACCCAGGTAAACCTCAGTGACTGTCAAATTAATTATGCCTTTGCATCTGTCTCTTCCCCTTCTCTTTGGTTTCCTCTACAGATTAACATCTCTGAGAAGGGGGACAGAATGTCAGTCTTGCCATCTTTGGCTTGGCACCTGGCCAGGATCCTGACATCAAGAGCTAGAGAGACAAATGGGCAATAAACATGTATGGGGATGAGATGGGAAATAGGGAGGGGAAAATGACAGCTTGACAAAAACCAGGGCAGCACAGAACCAATTTGTGCCGGCACTCAAGGCCAGGCACCCTGAGAATGGAATATGGATTGCTCCAAATGCCTCAATGATTCTCAAAACACCTAGATGACTTTCCATTGACTGAAGATGAACTTGTCAAAGGGGAAGAGGAGGGGGGGAAAAAATTATCTCCTTTTGCATGGGAAACTTCAGTTATGGCCTGACTTTACTGCAACGAGCAACCTTCAGTAAAAGAACCTATCACTTCACATAAATGCAGTTGAGGGTCTTTCTTTCCTAAGGGATCTGACTGGGGCAGGTCTGACAAAAAGTCTTCAAGGAAAACCAAGTCCAGTTGCCTTTTGAAAAAGCTTCATAAGCAATTGTATTTTTGCTTCATTTCTATCAGCCCTCATTATCTGAATTGAATTTTAAGGGAAGCACTGTTGTACAAGCAATTCCTCCCTTGTTGATGCTGCTCAAAAGGATAAACCACTGAGAACATTCTCGCAGGCAATTCTATGTCTATGGACAGAGAAGTGGCTGTAAAGAAAACCTCATGAGCAAAGTTTTCTCCCTACAAATATAAACACCCAACTCATGGATATTCAGAGAGGGTGACCAATGTTGACTCTTCCTACATGTTCAGGATTTGAAAGAAATTCTTTCACCTTGAAAGTTGATTGAGTCTTCTAGAGAGATGATAGAAGAAGGGATTAAGAGAAACAACTGGATCGGTGACTGAAAGAATATTTTTAGGATCAGTGAGTACAAAATCTATGAAAATATTTTTTTTAATCTCACAACCCTTATGTTTATTCCAAATTGCTTCTAGAATATATTACTGACTATGTAATGCCAAACAGGTGGTAGGAGGAGGATAGTTGAATAGACTGGGAAACTTTGGGCTAGGAAATTAATAAATCACTTACTAGTTAAATTCATTTATATGAATCAGCACACTGAATTTGTTTTCATATTTAAAAAGTACTGGTGCCTTCTTTCAATAAAATAGAGAATGAATACAGGAGCTTCAGTCACCTAGTTAAATTGCTACTCACCTCTCCCTGTATTAGCTCTGCTTTAAAACAATGCTTTTTAAGCCCTTCTTTCTGATCTAGGGATAGTTCTAATTCTGATCAACTATCACATGTCATGTCCTCTCCTTTGAACACCTGGTTGCTGCTTCGTGCAGCCATTTTTACCTGGGTTGATGGACTCATATGGTCTCCAGAAGATTGGAAGTTAAATTTCTGGTTTTTATCTGACAGTTATCTCAATGAACTATCCTTGCCCTGGGTTTTCCCACCCCTTCTAAAAATTTATAGTTCTGCTCAGTCCCTATATTTTCCAGTGGGCACTCTTTCAATTACTACCCAGGCTGGATGAAAATATTGGTCTCCTCACCCCCTCTCACAGTATTGCATAGGCTTCAGTACCTCTTTTTTCTATAATTTACAGTCTGCTTTTATGTTTAGATGGCGGGAGGTTGCTTAAAGACTTTGGATTTTGTGTGTCTCACTCCCTCTTTCTGAGCCGTGATGGAGCAGTGATTAAAGTGCAGGATTGCAGGCAACTTCTATAGCCTGCAGTTCGATCTTGCCAGGGCTTGAGACTGGGTCAACCTTCCATCCATCTAAGGTTGATAAAATGGGGACCCAGATTATTGGGGCAATATGCAAATAATGCTTCTACATTATAAACCACTCAGAGAATCCTGTAAAGGATGGGGAAGTAAATAAGCCTAAAGACTAATCCTATTGCAGTTTTTTCTTGAGGTTAAAAAGGAGGAAAGATATTTTTCATAATACAGTTGCTTGAATACAGTTGCATAATACTTGACTATTCCAGATATGAAGAGACACCTTACCTCTCTTCAATATTAACCTTCTTAGATTACCATCCTTCCAGTGTAACCAGCACAACAAATAAAACAGCCTTACAAATTAAGAATAAGAAGAGCTGGCACAATCTAATTAATGACAGTGTTACAGATATTCACATCATATTTCTACCAACTAAACTCCATCTAAATTGCAACAAGGGTTGTGGGACAGCCTCAATTTCAATAACATGTTTTTCCATAAATATGGAGTCAGCCAATAAAACCACACACTCCTCATCACCATTACCACTGCAATAGGGCTATCGAGCATGGATGCAATTGCCGGGCCATGGTTCTGATCTGTAAGGGGA